GAAAGGGCGAACATGTTTGGTGTGACGGGGATTCGAACCCGCGACCCTCAGATTGAGGGGTTCATCAGACGCCTTAGTGATATTTATATCATCAGTTTTCATGAACAACGACTTTTAATGTTATGATATGAACTGGGTTAAGTAAGTGATTTGTAATTATTATTATCTACTTTACTTAAGTCATTTACAAATGATATTTTTAGGGTAAGGATTAATAAAATATTATATATTTATTGTAAACTTATTCTCTGGTGTCCACTACAAATAAACCATTCCCCTGTTTCAAGCAATTTTACTGTCGACCATAGTTAGCCGTTTACACTCAAAAGTTTGGAAATAATGTTTTGGCAATGAGATAACAAATACACATAATAAATAATCTTGCTGCATTTCCACACTTGTTAAAAACAAACAAACTTGGCAAACTTAACAACTAATGGAGTTTAAATTTGAACATGTGTATTGAATAGTTCTGGAGTATTTTCCATTCACATGATGTCAAGCGACCCAGTGTTCTGGTCTTGGAACAAATCCCCCCACAAAAAGAAAAATAAAGAAGAGAGACGTGTTTAAATGTGTGTAGTGCCTTTAAAACCACAACAGACACCCCAAAATCTACAAAACACTATGCTGCAGGGTTAATGGCCACGACCAATACCAATACAGCTTTTCCTCAAAAGGCAGACAATTTTACCACTAGGAGGGTTTCAAGGTCAGCTGAATGACGAGGCAAAACTAGTCATTCTGGAAACTTCAAAACTGTGCTTCTTTGTCCAGTACAAACACAACTTACACCGAAATTTATTTTTTTGAAATATGTTGTTTGGTGAAGAATTATATTCTCATACATCTTCACTTTAAAAAATTAAAATAAAATGCATTTTTGTTGTTTAAAAGTAATAACGTAAATTACGTTAATTAACGAATAAGTTAAATACTAGGATTTTTCATTAAGCTAAAACACCAATTTTAAATGAAGCTACCTACATAGGGACAAACTTGAGTTGTTTAGTGTACTATTACATGCTGGCTTGAAAGCTCTAGTTGTTTATCTAATTACATATACGTAAACTTTTATAAATGCGTAATTATTATGGTTTATAAAACAAATCATCTAATAAACAGCAGTATGAACTCACCTACTAAATCACTATAATTCCAATTTCCCCGTTAGCAAAGAATACCTTAAATATATCGTAATAAATTAATTTTCCACTCATATGTGACAACGTATATACCTCTATGTACTATCCTGGAACTTTGGGAACTAATAAGACCTCAAAAGTGGTTATAAAATAATAAAAGAATATGAAGGAGGAACCAACTTCTGAAAGCGTTATGGTTCTTTTATTTCGTTTGAAATCTATACAGTTGTATAATTAATGAAAATTTGCTACCGTTCAAAACGATTTCACTGTTATAATTTATATATAAAAAACTGCATTTATGAATCTCTGTTTTCATAAAACGTGTATTGAAGCTGCATGAATATATAATACAAGTTCAGACGAATGTAAATGGATCTTATAGAATTATTTCCCCACTCGAGTACGAGTGCATTTGGTTTATCTATATTAACTACACGTTACCCCAAGAGTCGGCAAGTAATGTGACTTCGTTACTGTGGCTTCTTTCTTCGCTGACCCCAGCCAGCTACGTACAGTGGTTCCAGAGATACTCAAACCATGCAGTTATAATAAAAAAATGTTTGGATGGTCACCCCGATAGATACCGTCCTACAGGAAAATGACTAAAAACTCGGTTATAAGAGAAGGTAATCACTTCTGAAGTTCTGGTAAAATTATCACGTCCGAAAATGTCGTTAATAGTGAGGGTACACAACTGATGACATTGTATTATTATTTTTATATACAAAAGCGGAAGTATATTTAGTTAGCTATACATAGTACAGGGCGATTTTTCTTTCGATCAAGCAGGTAGCTTTGCGCTGATTACAAGTTAATGTTGATACTTGGAGAACTGATTCGATCAGAAATCAAAATTAGCTGCTTCAAATTGTCAGAATAGCCTCTTTTGGTGAAAATGATACACCAGTTGATGCAAGTGGAAAGTGGTATATTTTTATATTGAATTTTAATAACTGTTATATAACCAATTAAAACACATCTTTAGTAGTTGTGTATGTTAATTGTCATAAATATTGTTGGTGTTTTGTAACGGAATTTATGACATTTCTCAAAATTCGAAAACTTCATTTACTTACTGCGAAAATATCTCAAATTCATTCATTCCTGGTAGAAAGTAACATTTAATGATTTACAGTTATCTATTCTGATTTAAGTTAGGGCATGATATGTCATTGTTATATCTTCGAGTAATGATCGTCCTTAACTAAAGCTTATAAAATTATATTTTGATGTATAACATAAATCTGTTAGTGTTACACTAATAACTTCGTTGTATCAGAGCCACGGGATACGTGGAGAAAACCTAATTATGCTGCATTCTACAAGAGCGGGCTTAATTTTTATTCAACCTATTATATAGAGAGAATAATTAAATGAAAGGAAATCAGCAGTATCAGCACAGGGAAAATAAGTTGTTTAACTATCA